TTGAAATCTATACAAATAAATCTTTTAAACACTTCTGAAGAGCACAAAATAAATATGAAGAAATGGAAAAACAGCTCCTTGTTCTTATATTAGATAACTCAGTGTTATAAAGATGTCAGGTCTTCCAAAGTTGATTTACAAATTTAACACAATTTCAATAAAAATATCAAGCTCCTTTGTGAGGCTAAATTTGTTTATAATAAAGTTGATATATTAAAACAAACATGCAAGAAGAGCCAGATAACATACTGCTAAGGAAAACTAAAACAAAATAAAACTATGAGGTGATAGTGGCCTTAAAAGATTAAAAGATACGTTTTTGCATTAGTATAGCATTGAACTTCTACATCTGATAGAGTATGGTGACACATAAATAGAAAAATAAATCAGATAGTGAGAGTAAACACAAAGGGAGGAAATAAAAGTATATGAAATGTAATATATAAGGTTCACATCTCAAATTATTAGGCAAAGAATGACTTTTCAATCAATAATGCTAATTAACATCATAGTCATTAGGAAAAGATAAAATAAGATTCAGATGAGAACAGACTCCTTATAAATCTGGGAGCAAAATACAATAAATAAATAAATCCATACAAATATCAGATATAAACATGGATGCATTCCTCTTTAATTTCAGTAAAGGGAAAGACTTTCTAATATGATTCAATGTTCCCAAACAATGAGATATTAAAAAATCTTAATAAATAATAAAGAAAAAATACAAACAAAAACCCACCATAAACAAAGCCAAATGGCAACTGAAAAACTGTCAGAAAATATTTGCCCCAAATATCACAGAATAAGAACTAGTCTTCCAGAATTAGTTTCCTAGAGCTAGTGGTGAAAATTACCACAAACATGATAGCTTAATATAACTAATTTGTCTTTCACAGTTCTGGATGGTCCAAAGTCACAATCAAGATGTCACCAGGCTACATTAAATCTGAAGACTCTGAGGAAGAATCTATTCCTGGTCCATTCCAGTTTCTAGTTATTGAGATGATCTGATTTCACTGTGGTCCACCCTCTGTTTCATCTCTTCTCTATCTCTCTCTTATAAGGATTCCTGTCATTGGATTCAAAGCCTACTATGTAATTACAGTGATATCCTTATATGAAGCCTCTTAATTCCACTGTATCTTCAAAAACCATCTTTCCAAATGAGGTAATATTCACAGGTTTTGGGGATTAGAACATGAGTATATCTTTTTTGGAGGCTATTATTCAACTAAGTGCATAAAACTCTTTTAAATTGAGGGTAAGTCCTCAAACATCCAATGGAAAATAGGAAATAAGTATGAGCAGAAAATTTCCAAAAATTATATTAAATTGATCCTTAAACATATAATAAACATAGTATCTTACATGTAATTAGAGAAAAAGAAATGGCAATGAAATACTACTTCTGGTCTTTCAGGATTGCCAAAACTAACAGTTAAGGCAAAACACTATGTCATAATGTTGAAACTATAGGTAAACAGGTATTCTCATACATTATTGGCAGGAATTTAAAATGGCATAACTCTTCTGGAGAAGAATTTGTCAATAAATACTGAACAAAAATAAATATGCACATATATTTTGACCCAGCAATATGAAGTCAAAGAAATTAACAAGTACAATTTGTTGAACGACATAAGAACATATATACACATGATTATTCATTGATGCATTTTTGATACTTGCAAACAATGGGAACCAGATATATATGGAAGAATGGCTAAATAAATTAAAGTATAATTCCATGATAGATTACAAAGCAGGTTTTAAAACTAAAAGACAAGATCTAAATGAAAAACACCAAAATAAAGAAATCCATACTAAACTATCTTTTGCATAAATTAAAAAATATATAAGGAAACACACTTGTATCTTCTCATCTGGGCAAATAAGTACAGAAAAGATTAAGTAGAAACCAATGGTCTTAGTTAGCTCATTATGGGAATGGGAACAAGGTAGAAGGTAAATTAGAGACATTCCATGGACTATAATTTTGCCTATAATTCTGATCATAAGAACCATGATAATATCCCACATATATATATGTGCCATTCTAAAAAGACAAGATAAAGTAAAAAGAACTACGTCCCATTGGAGAAATAGTGAATTCTTGTTCTGACTCAAGATGAGCCTGGAATTTGTGATGTGCTAGATGGCAAACATGAGTTTAGAAAATAATTAGAATATGTGCAAGAACATAGGCCCCAAATTATAACAGGTACCAGTGGTTAAATCTTTTATATTGCTTTATAAAATAAAAATGATAATGATTTATAAATTATAAAACATGTCTATAATCTATACTCATACAAGTAAGTGTAAATGGAGGTGAAGGTGCAGCTCTTTTTTATGTTACAATTGCAGTTAATAATCAGAGAAAAAATGATGCTAATCTTGAGTCTTGGGCAAGTAGTCACAGTAGTCTTACCTGTGATGGTCACAGATAACAATAATTGAAAGATACTAGGATAAGAATAGTGTGCTGAGAAATGCTCGCAAGCCTCATAGTCTCTCTTTCAAACATGTTAATTAATCAAAAAAAGGAAAAATAAGAAAATTTCAGTTCATTATTCTGGAAGAAATCCATGCTTAGCCACATGATCATGTTAACATCACAAGTAGTAAGATGTAGCGATATCATGTGCCTCCTGCTATAATATACTGAAAGGGTGGTCAGAGCCTCAGACAAACTCAAATCGAATGACACTCAACTGCTCAGTACTCTAAAACTATTGAGGTCATGACAGAAACAAAAAACTGAGAAAGTACACCAGATCAGAGAGCAAAGAGAGACATGAGAAGAAAATGTAATGTGTGATCTCAGATGGACATTTGAAGCGAAACAAAAGGACAGAAAGCGGCATTAACGAAAGACCTATATATCAGCTAACAACATTGTATGAATATTATTTTCTTGATTTAAGTATTTTGTGGTTATGCTGTTACCATTAAGGGATTATTAGAATTCCATGTATATGATACTATTTTAATAAGTCTAAAATTTAACTTGAGATGAAATGATTCAAATAATTTATGAAAAGATCAAATAAAACCTAAGGAAAATAGGTCAATATAATATGCCAAATATTATGAAATTGTTTGACAAAACCAAAGTTTGATTCTATGATAATACTAATAAGATTTTTTTAAAGTTTTTTAAGATTGGTCCATAAATGAAGTAACAGATTATTCATAAAAGTAATAACAAAGAGAAAAGAGATAAATGAAGTAACAGATTATTCATAAAAGTAATAACAAAGAGAAAAGAGCTTAGATTCTAAAAACATTAAAATGTCACAAAATATATCATAAAACAATTTAATATTAGCACATTTGAAATTTTTATGTTAAATTCTTTCAAAGTTTAACTTATTAAACTGAAAGAATAGAAAGTTTGCATATACTTACAGCTATTCAAAATATTAAACTGCTATAAATCTTTTCCAAAAAGCAAACTGTAGGTCAACAGTACTGTCCCAAAGGATCCTTTCAAATGTTAGGAAAGAAATACCACCCATCGTAAATAAACTCAGAGATGAAAATGGAGGAAAAACATAACTTGTTCATAGATATTAGTGAAATCTTGATTCCAAAACTGAAATAGTAGAGAAAATGACCAGCAATGTCTTTCATTAATGTAGATATAGCATTATTCATAGTTATAATAATGAGTTATAAATCATAAAATGAAAAAATATCTATACTGGGGCAAATAAGTGAGCAAATAAACAAATGAACAAGAGAGTACAGATGAAGTATATTTCATGACAAAAAGTTTATCACACTGAATTTAGTGATGATTTTAAAAGTTACTCTATCAGTCAAGCAGCATTTGCTGATGGAATGAATATTTGGCTTATGTTTTAAGCTATCTATGCAATAAATATTATCTAACTATAGTGTATATGTTTGTTTTGACATGCACATACATGTTTACAATATTAGTGAATAAAAAGAATCCTAGCAAAATAAAAAGAGAAGGTAATCAACAGAGCATCTTAATAAAAGAAAAAATAAAAGCTCAGAGCAAACACCATACCAAAACATGAATTGTTTTGCTAATATCAGCAACAAGCCTAGATGGTCAGCATCATTCCCTAGTCCTCCCCAAAGCAATATGGCATAAAAATGTATAATTTGGGAAATAAGCAAGTAAAACATCCATTATTTGCACAAAAAAACTATTGTCCTTATAAAATTTCCGCTGTATAAAAATTCAGAGGAATCTAATAGTGAACAGTTAAACTTAGCAAGGATTTTGAGAACAAATAGGCAAACTCATATTGTATTTATATATATTAAAAATAAGAAATTAGAAAACACCTTTTTTGAAAACATCCATTTATTCTTGTATCAAAAACTCTAAAATTAGAATTAAATCTGACAAAACTTATAGCATATCTTTATGGAAAAATAAAATAGAGAAATACATAATGTTTAGGAATCTGATATGGTAAAATTAATAGATTTAATCCAATTAAAATTATAGGTTTAATGCAATTTCAATGAAAATCTTTGTTAATTTTTGAGACATTGTGGGAAAATTACAAGTTATTGCAATTATATGTTTATACTATAAAATTTATAAACAATTCCAAGGGAATAAAAGTAACAGTCTTGTACAAAGTTAATTACTCCCACTAATTAGATCATCATGACTTACAATCCTATGCTAATTAAAATAGTCTGATATTGGCACGAAACTAAAACTTTCGCTTTTCACTTATTTCCTTTTTTAGCCTTTCAGGAAGTTTTATCAAAACTCTGCAGTAATACTTTTTGTAGTAGTTTTAAAAATGTTTTACATTAAAAATATTTATGTTTTTCTCCTTTACCTTGGACTGTGAACTTCTCAAAGACAGTGACCATTCTAACTAATGATCCTCATACTCAACATCAGATACTCAAAGAATCAAAGATAAATGATGAAAATAGCACTGGTGAATACAGTTTTCATTGTCATCAAAATCCCAGGATGATAAACTCAGATTTACCTCCAATATCTGGACGAAGTTTATTGTCATAGCCTTGTAGCAGCGAGTTGAGAATTTGTGTTATATCTCCTTCATGAATTTTTGGTGCCAATACCCATGTTTTGTTCACTGTTAAATCCTCATCATCTTCATCATCTGCTTTATCAACACTAAATAATTGAAAGAAAAAAATGGATAACTGAGAGCTTAATCAAATTGTATATACAAAAATTAGTTTAATATTATTAAAAGTGCATGAGGGAGCAATAAAATTGGACAAATAATGTTTAAAAATTGTTACTTCCAATAAGACTATTGTCGTTATTGTGTGAACTATCCTGATAAAATAATACTCAAAAATGAAAATTTGTTACAAAGTAATGTGAAATATTAAAATAATAAAGTAACTGCTCCCTAAACTTCCATTACAATATGAGGAACCTGGGGGAGAAAAGAACAAAGTTATGAACAGAAAAGGAGAGCTACCAGGGAGGGAGAAAAGAGAAGGAGACAGGGAGATAAGAAAGAGTAATAGAGGGGTGACTACGATCAAATTCATTATATAGATGGGCAGAATGTCATGTTGAAACCCTTTATAATGTATAATTTAATATAAACCAATAAAAAATCATGAACAGATCATGGACCAAAAATATGAATGGTACTCCCTAGAACTGTGTAGTACACAATCTGCACAGCCATATGTGGTGACCCTAAATTGCCATACCCAATGATAAAAATTAAAAGGTGAAGAAGCATAAGAAAACATACAATAGCCTAGTAAAATATATTAAACTGCATGTTCTTTACAAGTACAAAGATTCAACTTAATTCTGAATTGTAGTAGAAACATTCCAAACACACAAACACATACACACACACACAATTAATTAAGGAATCAAAATTTTCTTTATTACAACACATAAGTACCCCTACCCTCAGGTGAGGAAAATTATCCCAGACTTAGTAAAACATCCCTAGTCTCTAATGGTAATACACTGGTAAAAACAAGCAAAACTGTACTATATTGGGTTAAAAGATAGTTTATGTTAACATCTTTAATATGTCTTTGCACACTATCCATTAAGTCTTTTTTGCTTTGGAGATAAACATAACAAATGCAGGCCCTCTCTTTTATCATTAATTGATGTTACTGTAGTCCAGATCTTAAATGTCCTTCAAAAGTCCATATGTTATTCTTGATCAGAAGCCCATAGAGCTCCTGAGAGGTGGTGGAACCTTTTAAAAGTGGAGCCTAGTAGGAGGAAGTCAAGGCCATGCCCCCCTTTTTTATTATTATTCATTTATTCATGTGTGCATATATTGTTTGGGTCATTTCTCCCTCCTGTCCCCCCTCCTCCAGGCAGAACCTGTTCTGCGCTTTTCTCCAGTTCCGTTGAAGAGTAGAAATAAGCAATAATAAGAAAGACATAGCATTTTTGCTAGTTGAGATAAGGACAGCTATACAGAGAGATTCCTAGCATTGCTTTCATGTACAAATGTATTACAACCCAGGTTGATTCATCTCTAACTGATCTTTACTCTGGTTCTTGATCCCCTTCTCGTGTTGACCTCTGTCAAGCATTGTGAGACTGCATTGTCTTCTTTTCTTTTCTTTATGTCCAGACTGCCATGAAGTAAGCATTTGCTTAGTCATGCACTCCCCACCATGATGTATTGTGTTGTTACTGGTTCAGTGGGGTCAGCCAACTGACACCTCAAAAACGCTGAAGCCACATAAATCCGTTCTCTTTATCAGGTATTTAACAGTGCATCAAACTGACTAACACAAGTAGTAATGTAGTAAATTGAAGCTTAATTTTAAGCAATGTACTTTCTTACTTCATCTTCACAATGTTTCTATTGATAGTTATTATCAACAGATAATGAGATGTATTATTTTTCTCAATGTCTCTTTTCTTCCTGTCCAGGAATTGTACTTCTCAAACTAATAACTTCTGACTTGATTATGTGACCTGTTGGATTCTTTTCTGCAGGAAGATTGTGACATCCCTGTCCTGTTGACCTCAGGTGTGACCATTATTGACTTTGGCTTCTGGAAACTAAGTGACATGTTTCACTATGAAGCAAAATGGTCAGTGTAATTTAAGTTTACCATTTTTCTCTTGTCCTTCTGCTTGAAGACCAATCACACTCAAAACTACTTCATTACTTTACTCCCAGAGTGAAGATGACATGGACAGGCCACAGTTGTACTACAATGGACATGTAGCCTGAAGGAGAAATAAACATCTAGGCGGTTAAGCTACTAAAGTTTGGGAGTAGTTTGTTCCCACAGCTTGACCTATTATATCCCTAATAGCTTCAACATGGCCTATTTGATTTTCATTTAGTATTTGAGAAAACAATAATATATCCATGTCTGAAATACCAATGTGAGACCCCTTTTAACAATCAATATACACATTAAACAAATGAAGGACAGGAAGATAGAACAGTATCAGGACCTCCAGGAAGGGGAGAGGGCAAAAGAAGAGGGTGAAGGAGGGCTAATATGGTAGATGTGTTTTGTAGTCATGTAGAAAACAAAACAATGAAATCTGTAAAAACTGTTCTAAGAAGGAGGGAGGGAGGATGAGGAAAAGGATGGAGGGGGTGAATTGTAAGCATACATGTAAATGTCACAATGTATCCCCTGTACAACTATTATATGCTAATCAAAATAAGAACAAACAATTGTAGTTCCCTAGAAGGAATGAAGGTATAATTTGAGTAATTTGAATTGAATGTACTTTTTACACAACCTCAAGAAGTCTCCCTGGTTCCATCTGAGGCTAATTCACAGGGCCCATGCTATTTCCCTTTGACTATATTCTACTACTTACAAATTAGCAAGCAATCTGTGAAAAGTTATTAACTTGACCAAGGAAGCATTGCTAAGATGGTAGAGCTGGGGTTCTGACAATATTCAAACAAATGATGTAGTAAAAGATCATACACAACAATGGCTACCATGGTATTATATGATAGTACAGTTTTTGTTTTTTCTTCATTTTATTTTATTGTTGTGCTAGGTAGGGTAAATTGTGGTATTTACAAAGGTTCTCACATATAGCAAATATGTCATACTTGAATTCACCTCTCCACCATTCTCCTTTATTCCTCCCCCCCTCCACTCAAGAAATCGTTTCAACAGGTATCTTTTTTTCCATTTACATTCATGTGTACACACCATTTGCATCATATTCACCCTGTTACACCCCTTTCCTACCTCCCCCTACCTCACATTGGTATCAACTCCCCAGGCAGAGCCTGTTCCACCATCCTGTCCCTGATTTTGCAAAAGAAAGGACAAAGAAATGACATTTTTGCTTGTTTAAGATAGGTACACAGGGAATTTCCTTGTGGCATGTCCATATATATATGTATTATAGCCCAATTTGGTTAATTTCCTCTGTTTTTCTTCTTTCTACTTTAATCCCTTTTTATGGTTATTTCAGCCAGTTTAAAAATTCAATATTCATTCTGGTATAGGAAATAAATCAACCATTTTCACCTTAACTTCCTTCTTTTATCCTCCCCCTGTAGTTGTGACCTCCCCTTAGTGTTTTTCATAGTATTGTATTTGTGTTAGGTCTATATTCTGCATGTGAGAGAAAGCATGTGGCCTTTGACCTTCTAAACCTGGCTAACTTCACTGAAGATAATGTTCTCCAGTTCCATCCATTTACCTGCAAACAAAATTTCATTTTCTTTGTGGCTGAATAGAATTCTGTTGTATATAGGTACCACATTTTCTTAATCCATTCAGCAGTAGTGAGCATCTTGGATAACACAGTTTTTAAGCAACAAGACTGTTTCAGTAAATATCAATACGTTCCCATTATGAAATGTACCCACACCATTCAATTGATGGCAGTGTAGAATCTGTAAATAAGGATGGGCATGTATGTAGGTCAGTAGTAAAGTGCTTGAGCACTTGCCTAATATGTTCAGGACTTGAGTGCAATCCCTAGTACCACAAAAAAGTCTGTAAAAATGTGAAATTATGTTCTTATTTAATATTATCTGAAAAATAATGTAAATCAATTTTATTTCCATCATCATCTGGACCTAAAATGGCTTAAAATTCTTGATTGGAAAACAAAATAACATGTACTCTTAATATTCTACCTAAGTGGAACTATAGAAAGTTAATTTGTCTGTATGTCAGTAGTAGCCTACGATCTTTCTGTATTCATAGAAATACATGGAAAGAGGGAGGGGGTGGGGGCAAGGGAGAGAAATGACCCAAGCCTTGTATGCAATAATAATAAAAAAATTAAAAAAATTAAAAAAATACATGGAAAGGAGGTGATTTGACAAGAATGCCTCCCTAAAAAAGAACTGCCTTTTCATATATACCAGAAAGTACTCTGAAATGAATTTCTAATTATAAAAAATAAATTTACAGTGAGAGGCAGAACGTTATACTTTGTCAAGAAAATTATCATGGCAACCCCGAAAATTTGTTGCTCAGTTCTCTGGCCAGAGATCCTTGGTTGCCTGCCTGCCCAGATGCCAATGATGAGAACCAGCATCAACTCTGTACAGTCTCACACTGCCCCAGGCTGCTTTCAAGCAGTAACTGAACATGAGTGAACACCCATTTCTGACTGCCTAGGGCCTCTCTTAAAGGGCAACTTGCTCTGGAAGACCCACTGGTCCAGTCACCACATTCTTACAAGGGCACTGCACTCTGAGATTTCTGACTTAAACTTCCTCTCCCCTATGTACTTTCATAGTGGCAGACATCTGTTTTTACACAAAGCTTTCTCAAAGCTTTCTTTCTTCAAGTCTACAACCCTCTTCTCTTATGTACCTTTCCTAGACATTTCTCTTAAAATTTATTTACATGTTAATCCCTTCTTTTCATGTTTCTCAAAGCCTTCTGCCTCTACAGTCTTGAATTGTAACCTGTAAGTACTTACTAAAGAAAGTTTTTGAGTCACATATATATTTTTCCTTTTTGTCTTAGCTGTTATTTTAACACAATATACAAATTTCTGATGACATAAGAAATTATTGAATGTAAAAAGTACTTTAATGTCTGTATTACTCTTCTTTTATATAACAAGGGTTTTGAACTGATAATAGATGCTTTAAGTAAAGATAAGGCCTACTATGCCATACAATCATAAAGAGAAGCCATCTTTATCACTATAGGAAACTATATGCCTCATGAAAGACAATTGATAAAAACCATTTTTCATGCATAAGATAAATATTCATTGAAGTTTTCTTAGAACAGTATTGGTTTACACCTGTTGCTCTGGAGTGATTTTAATAAGACTTTTTCACTCCCAAAATGGCCTAGGTTGGATGATAAATTATATAGTCACCCTGTATATAGTTGAGATAAAAGTGACTGCAAGTGTTCTGATTCTGACACATGAGGCAACTGCTCTCATCAATCTACTTAGAAATCAGACTAGCAAGCCCAAGCAGCTTAATGAGCTGCCTAAGGAATTTGAATAAATCCTAAAGGAATATTGGTAGATCTTCTCCCCCATAGTTTGAAAAAATGGTACAATTACAAATGAAATGGATGAATGAGACCATTTGTATATTTCATTAGAAGTAAAAAGACAATTGCTACTTCTTGCTCCCATATGTATGAGAGAAAAACCAATGAATAGTAAATATAATAAATATTTTGTGATGGCTACTTATATTTTGACAGTTTTAGATTAGTTACCTATAGAAATAGGTATGGATAATAATTAAATAATGTTAACCATTTAACATTAATTCAAAACTTAGATATTAGGTAAATATACTTAATCATGTATTGAATGCTCTCCTTTTTCACTTAGAAAGTAACATATATTATCTGGATTATTTTAGTAAGCATCTTCATTCGTATTTGTTTATTTAAAGCATAAGTGGTTATACTGGAAAAAAAGTACAGGTACAATCTCAAGATTAATATTTCACAAATTTTATGTACCAATCAATAACTAAATTCAAGTTAAGGTTTCTTAACTAAATTTTCTTGATTAGCTACATGTAATTTCTTCAAAGGTTTAAATGCTTTAAATTATCAGCACTCACACTAAGCATCTTTACCATAGGAGCTTTAAATTGTCATGTCTACTCCTTATGTAAAACATAAGGAGAACAGAATTCTGAAAATCTTAAATGAATTTATTAAAGTTTTCATAGCTATTTAATGCCAAAAAGAGTTCCATATAAATATCAGATCACACATAAATAACTCAGATGTATTAATGATCATACTCATTGTACTATATATTCGATATTTAGAGGAATGTCTTCCAGATAAACATGCTGAGGGACTTTATTAGAAAGAAATTACTATGAAATACTTTAGAAACCCTCAATCAGTAGATAATAATGTAATTGTCTACTGTCTTTGAATCCAATACCCAGTTTAAGGTGTAAAATCCTCTAAATTTCACTCTTTTCAATGATTATGATTGCTGTAATGAATGTAGTACAATGTTATAGTAAATGTAATAACAGTTATTAGTTAATTATTACATTTTACTATGTACATATGTATCCGTAAATGATACAAAATACATACAATGTAGTAAATTATTATATAGTCACATTATTTTGCTAATCTAATGTATATAAAATAGTACCTTTTTTCATGGTATTGGGGCTCGAACTCAGGTCCTACACCTTGAGCCACTCCACCAGCCCTATTTTGTGATGAGTTTTTTAGAGATATGGACTTACAAACTATTTGCTTGGGTTGGTTTCAAACCATGATCCTACTGATCTCTGCCTCCTGAGTAGCTAGGATTACCGGTGTGAGCCACCAGTGCCTGGCTTAGTACCTAATATTGATTTCATCACAGTCCCTTGATTTTTTAAAATAGAGCACCTACAACAATCTGAATAAAGTTGAATAATGCTGAATAAACAGCATCTATTTGTATTTATTGGTTATCTGACCTTATGTAAATTACATTCCAGATTTGATTTAAATACTAATTTTAAAAAGTAATTAACAATATTTTATTAAAGTTTACTTGAAAAATCTATTAGGTGATTATTATGAACTGAGCATCTTCTCAGATTTTGAGGATGCAAAGATGAGTTTTAAAATAGCCCCCAGAGGAAAGCTGGAACATTGGTTATAGAATAAAAAGAAACATATAATACAAAAGAAAGTTAAAGAAGGGAAGACATCTGCTCCTTCTCATTTTATATTAGTAACAGAAAGGTGAAATAACGAGGGAGAAGCAGATACCCCTACTCC